CAGTCGGTAGGCCAGTGCTTTATAGGTCTACATTTGACCCCTGAACCCCAACCCTAACCCAATCCTAACCCAAGCAGATTGCGTCTCGGTGCTCTGGTGTTATTTGCACATATTGAAATGAAGGAATATGCACATATTTGGCGGAAAAATTGCCCCTTTCTATACAAATGAGCCTCATTGATAAACAACATCTAATTCACTAACACCAGCGCTAATAGCCACACGCAGTTTGAGTGAAGTAAATAACGTCTTTAGAAAGCTGGTGCAAACTGGCCGCTCCTCTGTGGAAGCCTCTCGCCCAGACTTTCCAGTAATCGTGGCAGCAGTGATCGTCTGTTAAATCAGTCTGTACTTAATATTTTGACATTATTATTATAATCATTATTACTTTAATGGCATCCAAAGATACTGATGCATTGAACAGGTGACAGTCTGCTCTCTTTCTCAAAATGCACTTCTGTCACTCACTTCAAAAGCAACTTTCAATGATTTATTTTACAAAACGGGGGAAACAAACATTAACAAAAACGGTTCCATAATTCATATTACATTCAAAAGATAACGAAAAAACAGCTACAAGTGAGAGGGAATACAGATAAAGTGGTCAAACTTGGTCAACTCCACAGCCTCAACCCATCCGACACTGTTATGTGCAACACACACCGCCGCGGCGCTGTGGCTGTCAAGGGCCGCCCCCCAACACACAGTGGCAGCGGTGCGCAGCGGCACCATCAACATGTATTTCCCACCCCAGCCCTCTAGGTGGCTGTACCTACACTAGTTGCCAACAGTTGCCAACTGCTAGTAACAGAAGAAGAAGAGGAAAAACTTTGAGGCAACAACAACTTGAATTTCACAGGTGAGTTTCTTATCAAAGTCATCTTATTAAAAATTTGAAACAACCAGAGTTGATCCTACGAGACAAGACGTACATAAAAGGCTTTTCTCGCAGCACCGCCATGAGCACCGGCCGCGCTGGAAATACAGCAGTGGGCTGAAGCAGAGCCTGTGCCAGTGTGGGTTGGTTCATAGAATATAATGGAGGCGGGTGTTTTGACGCGTGGCATACAGTGGCGGTGTGTGTTGCACTATGGACTGACTCACCAGCAGACATCACTACATGAGAGCATACAGTATTCAGTACTTTCCCAAACAAAGTCTGCCACTGTTCTGCCACGGTGTTTTTGGCACAAAGCCAGCATTTATACTTTGCCATGTGTGGCTTATTGCAATCAGGGGCAAATCAGGGGCAAACTGCACTCAGCTGCCAAACTTTGTGGGCATGTTTGTGCTGGTATATCATTAGCACAATATCCTTTGTGAATAGGACATGAAGACGGAGCAAACTGCCGGTGCAAGTGAAATGTAATTCAAGGTGCTATCAGCGGCCACACTTCATTCTTTGTGAATTTGGCCCTCAGAGTTTTCACTAAACCCACTTTCTGGAATAGGGCCCAGGTAAACATACAGGTAAACAGGTAATCACTGATCACAGATTACAGATTGCAACCAGTTGAAATTTCTCCTGGTTAGAATTCCTTCAGTGTTGATTGTTGAGGAGCTGAATTATCCTCAGAGGTCTCTTCCTCTCAGAAACACACACACACCAGCTGATTTACACCAGGAAACACTCTGAACTAAATCAGCGTTTCTCTGATGCTGCTTGTCACAGAGAAACTGCTGACAGCAGTATTTGACTATGAACACATGAATGTCTCTATCTAGAGTCATTGTTTGATTTATCTGTTCTGGGCTACTGTAAAAACATGACAATGCAACATGGTGGTCTCTGTAGAGGTGAGGATCAGGTCTGGGTTTACAGGTGAGGTTCAGGTCTGTGTTTACAGGTGAGGTTCAAATCTCACTTTAAATAAATTCAGTGTCTGTGAAACATTAAAGCAAATTCATCTTTAATTTTTATTTGAATTCATCAGATTTTAATTTTTATCAAAGACATTATTCCATCGGTTGTTTTTCCTACATGGTTCAGTCCAGTGTGATTCTGGTGGTCTGGGTTCTTGGGGATCTCATTGAACTGGAACAAAAGTGTTTTGGGGTTCCTGTGTGACTGTAACACTGCTGCTGCTTTCCCAAACTGTGAGTCCACCAGGTCTTTGGGTTCTGGTGGTTCTGATCCTGAAGTCCATTTGACGTCTTTAGGTTATCGTGTTTCCATCTTCCTGATTCTGGTGATAATCCTTGTTATGTCTTCCTGAATATCCCTGGTGTGTCCCTGGCCTTTTGGTTCTTCAGGTTCTGTGTGGTCTCAGTCCTTCCTGTTCTGACAGCTGCAGGTTTTGTAGCTGTCTGCTGACCTGGTCCTCTGTGTTCTGCTGGTTCTGGTTCTGCTGGTTCTGCTCCTGATAAAAAGGAAACACTGTTGTTACTGTCAACAAAAATCTTTACATCGAAACCACCGGACATTCTGATCCGAAGGTTCTGTTAGGCTCAGAGGACATTAGGGTGATGAGGTGAGAAGAACTGAAGATGTAAATCTTTAACTCAAACCAGACACTGTGTGTGTGTGTGTGTGTGTGTGTGTGTGTGTGTGTGTGTGTCTGTCTGTCTGTCTGTCTGTCTGTCTGTCTGATGTGTGTGTGTGTGTGTGTGTGTGTGTGTGTGTTCTTCTCCAGAGAGTCGCCACCTTGTCGTGGTGGAGAGGCTTGTGCGTACCAAAGATACCAAGAGCATTGCCCTCCGGAACCGAGCTCCTGGTAGGGTCACCCATAGTGGTAAGTTTGAGGGGGAGGTGCCAGACAAAGCGTGTCTCAAGAAATACCCCAACAGCAGAGCAGGCGGAGGATGGTGTCTGGGTAACATGTGGACTATCACAACGGCTGTATTGGTGGAAGAAGGCTGCAGCAGAGGGGCGCGTCCAGCTGTCATGGAGTCCATGCCGTTGGAAACAGGCTGCCTCTGTCAAGGATGGTGTGGTGGCTGACTGTGCACCAGTCTCCCCACTTTAAAAGAAGTCACGCACAGGCATCCTCCTGCAGTGGAAACTCCATCTGCACACCCCATTTCCCTTTTTTTTGTTTTTTTTCCTACTTGTCTGCATTGGTCTTCATAGCTTAGCACCACTAAAGGGTGTAAGCTTCTTGTGAAGATTGATGCACTGTTTAATCTTGCAGTCAAGTATTTTATACCCATAATGCGTGGTTGTGACCGTCACCCACCCTCCCTGGAGACTAGCCTAACAGCCTTTATTGGAAAAACTTCACACCCCATTTCCCAAGCCCTGTGGCGATAAGTGAGTGGCAACGGGGGCAGGACCAAGAAGTCTGGGAGCTCCTTGTCACAAACTGGCACACAGGCAGTGGGTCAAGTTGAGTTGCCAAACTCTTGGACTGGGGCAGGAGAGTTCTCCAGTACCTTCACCAATGCCTGAGCAGCCCTGTTTAAGGACCACACTGCTTACCCCAGTAGGGGAGGGAGCTAGAAAAGGTGCCCTAATATTTCATCTGCCTCACCTCTATCCTGGCTGGGTTACCAGTGGGATCTCCTCCATGAGGTCAGAAACAGAGAAAACTTCAATTTGGTGCCTGGAATGTGTGCACCCTCCTCAACAGTGACTCCAGTGGGCAGCCAGAGAGACGTACAGCCTTCGTTGCAAGGAAACTATGGAAGTTTAATGTCGGCATTGCAGATCTCTCTGAGACCAGACTGGCAGATGAAGGACAACTGAGAGAGGAAAAGGAAGGATACACCTTTTTTGGAAGGGCAGGCCTGCTGGAGAACCTAGGATATATGGTGTTGGATTTGCCATCAAAAACAACCTGGTGTGACCACTTTCTGAACTACCACAGGGCATCAGCGAATGCCTAATGACAGCCCGGCTGAAACTGGACAGCAACCAGTTGCAATGCTTATGCTCCCACTCTGAAGTCACAAGACAACATCAAAGAAGCCTTCTATGTCAGCCTGGAAAACATTCTGTCAGCCATCCCAAAAGAAGATAAAATCATTCTCCTTGGGGAGTTTAATGCTAGAGTAGGCCGGGATTATACAACATGGGGTGACACCATTGGAAGAGAGCAAGTAGGTAATATCAACTCCAATGGTGTTCTCCTCCTGTCCAACTGTGCACAGCACAATCTCACTGTTACCAGCACTCTTTTATGGCAAAGGAATAAATTCAAAACATCCTGGATGCAACCCCCGATCCAAACACTGGCATCTGATTGACTACGTCATTGTTCGAGCCAGGGACAGGCGTGATGTACACCTCACAAAAGCAATGACTGGTACAGATGGATGCTGGACAGACCATCGTCTCATCTGCTCAACCATGACCCTCAGACTCATGCCAAAAAGAAGAGGGAGGTGAAAGCAATGTTGCCTTGCCATAAACACCAAGAATCTTGAAACACCTGGCACCCAAGATCTCCTTGAAGCTGCACTAACAGACAGCCTGCCATCACAGTACCCTAACAATGTCAAAGCACATTGGAGCGCACTGAAATCCTCCATCCTGACTATTGGCAAGAAAGTGCTGGGCCTAAAACCTAACAGGAACCAGGCCTTGTGCATGGCAGAAACACATCACCTGCCACACCAAAAGGCAAGCCCACTCTACAGCCAAGGCCATTATTCAGCGCTGAACGAGGGAACTTAAAAACAAATGGTGGACAGAGAAAGCTCGCGAAATTCAACATCTTGCCAACATAGGGAACACCAGGAGATTCTTCAGTGCCACCAAATCAATATATGGACCCAGCCACCGTGGATCCGACCCCCTTTGGTCCAAAGACAGGAAGAAGATCATGAGGTCAAGACCCACTGGAGAGAACACTTTGAGGATCTGTTAAACCAGGAAACAACTGTCGATGAGGAGGTTCTTAACAGTATTCCACAACTTCCCATGAGTGAGGATATGGCTGACCCACCAAGCCTGATGGAGGTATGTAATGCCATCTCAGCAATGCGGAACAACAAAGCCACTGGCACTGATGCGATCCCTGCTGAGATTCTGAAGGCTGGAGGGGCTAACCTCCATCAGCATATACATGCACTTATCAGGAAGATCTGGGACCTAGAGGTTATACTATCAGGCCTCAGAAATGCCCTCATTGTCATTGTCAAAGCAGACTGTGGGAACTACAGGTGAATATCACTTCTGTCCGCTACAGGGAAGATCTTTGCTCACATCCTTTTTAAGAGACTCTTCAGAAGAGATCCTTCCTGAATCCCTGTGTGGTTTCTGTCTTGCCCATGGTACAACTGACATGATCTTCACAGCCAGACAGCTACAAGAAAAATGCAAGGAGCAGAAGCAACCATTATACATGGCCTTCATAGATCTCACCAAAGCCTTTGACTCAGTCAACCATCAGGCCCTCTGGACAATCTTATCCAAATTTGGATGTCCAGAAATGTAGATCAGGGTCCTGAGACTAATACATGACAACATGTCAGCTGCTGTCCTCTACCATGGCAGCGAGACTGAACCCTTTCAGGTGGAAACTGGTGTCAAGCAAGAAAGTATCATTGTCCCCACCCTGTTCACAGTTTTCATAGCCGCCATCCTCCATTTTGTTGGAAACAGTGCATCCCGCAGTGTCCAGATAATCTACAGAAAAGATGGTGATTTATTCAACATAAACAGATTCAAAGCCAAATGTAAGGTCCTCCATATTTCCATCATGGAGTTACAATATGCAGATGACAATGCTGTAGTAGCCCATACAGAAGAAGCTCTTCAGGCCACCCTCAATGCTTTTGCAAGGGTCTTTGAAAATCCTGACCTACACTGAACAAAAACATAAACGCAACACTTGTTTTTGCTCCAATTTTTCATGAGCTGAACTCAGAGATCACAACGCGCGTGCACTCTGCTCAGACACACATGAAACAGCCACATATATGCAAAATATAACAAATAAAAATATGATTACAATGTGAAAGGTTATTATTGTGCACATTAAAATATTGATCAATAACACGTCTTAATAGTCAGTCATTAATCAGAATTATCTAATCGCAGTAATAATAATCATCATAATCCCGGAGGTCCAAGCTTGCAGTATCCGACTGCGAGCAGACCTGCACGGGCTGATGATGCATAGCCTGTAAAATGAGCTTGTCTTTCCCAGTTGAATTGTGACCATTTTGGCATGTAAATCACAAAATCAAAGATGTGAAAACATTTGATGAACTTTATTTTGACATAAACACAACAATAACCAGCTTCTGTGAACTAAAAACGTAAACTTATAGCCCTACAAATACAAATGTATACGTAAAAAAAAAAAAAAGCTTTTACAATGTAAAACTGAAGATCATCTTGTCAGGAGGAGGAGGAGGATGAAGGGGGAGGATGACCCCAGCTCCGCAGCCAGCGCGCAGCCAGACCAGACGGCCCGGGTGCAGCCACGGGACCAGCCATTCCTGCACCTTCAGGCGGGGTGTTCAGGATGCTGGAGAGGGAGCTGGGCTCTCTAACCTCCCGGGTTAAAATAAAATAAATTGAATGATTTACAATTTGTTGACAGCGTTTCTCTTGTGCATGCGCACTCTCTCTTTCTCTCTCGCAGCAGGGGCGGACTGGCCATCTGGAGGTTCTGGAGAATCACAGAACGGCCGGTACTCCAGGACGGCCGGCAGCCGCCACAGAGTCATCACCGTTTTTTTTGTTTGTTTCTTTCTTTCTTTTTTCTCCCTGATAATCTACTGTTCCACGTCCAGTCTGCTAGGTGGCAGCCTTTAAATTGGATGCCAGCAGGCCCATAGATATCTATGAGCCGGCCGGCCGCCAATCAAATTGAAGAAGAAGGAAGCGCATACCATATGCGCACCAGTTGTTGTGGGCTGGGCCGAGTCAAAGTCCAGGGCTGTTTTTTAGTCCCAGTCCACCCCTGTCTCGCAGTCTCACTCTGTTTCTTTTCTTTTGACTTTTCTAAGATGACAGATGCTGAATATATACTCCCTATCTGATGCTGTGACTGTTTGTGGCTGGCTGAGAGGGATGTGAACTTATTAGTTTGCAGCTGTGTTAATCAAATCAGATTGGGTTTCCATTATGCGTGCCAAACAGTGCCAATCCCCTTTGATCTGACATCACATGTGACGGGACAGTCGATATAGAGATACATTTATCGTCTCCTCAGCTGTAAAACGCTCACTCTTTCCAGTTGGTAGGTAAAACATTTTCTATACATACAAAAGACCATTTCCCTCAAATATTGTTCACAAATATGTCTAAATCTGTGTTAGTGAGCACTTCTCCTTTGCCGAGACAATCCATCCCACCTCACAGGTGTGGCATATCAAGATGCTGATTAGACAGCATGATTATTGCACAGGTGTGCCTTAGGCTGGCCACAATAAAAGGCCACTCTGAAATGTTCAGTTTTATCACACAGCACAATGCCACAGATGTCACAAGTTTTGAGGGAGCGTGCAATTTGCATGCTGACTGCAGGAATGTCCACCAGAGCTGTTGCCCGTGAATTGAATGTTCATTTCTCTACCATAAGCCAAAGCTCCAAAGGCGTTTCAGACAATTTGGCAGTACATCCAACCGGCCTCACAACCGCAGACCACGTGTCACCACACCAGCCTAGGACCTCCACATCCAGCATGTTCACCTCCAAGATCGTCTGAGACCAGTCACCTGGACAGCTGCTGCAACATTCGGTTTCCATAACCAAAGAATTTCTGCACAAACTGTCAGAAACCGTCTCAGGGAAGCTCATCTGCATGCTCGTCGTCCTCATCGGGGTCTCGACCTGACTGCAGTTCGTCGTCGTAACCAACTTGAGTGGACAAATGCTCACATTCGATGGCGTCTGGCACATTGGAGAGGTGTTCTCTTCACGGATGAATCCCGGTTTTCACTGTTCAGGGCAGATGGCAGACAGCGTGTGTGGCGTCGTGTGGGTGAGCAGTTTGCTGATGTCAACGTTGTGGCCCATGGTGGCGGTGGGGTTATGGTATGGGCAGGCGTATGTTATGGACAACGAACACAGGTGCATTTTATTTATGGCATTTTGAATGCACAGAGGTACCGTGACGAGATCCTGGGCCCATTGTTGTTAATATAAATATGGGGCCGTGCATAACATGATAATGCATGGCCCCATGTTGCAAGGATCTGTACACAATTCCTGGAAGCTGAAAACATCCCAGTTCTTGCATGGCCAGCATACTCACCGGACATGTCACCCATTGAGCATGTTTGGGATGCTCTGGATCGGCATATACGACAGTGTGTTCCAGTTCCTGCCAATATCCAGCAACTTCGCACAGCCATTGAAGAGGAGTGGACCAACATTCCACAAGCCACAATCAACAACCTGATCAACTCTATGTGAAGGAGATGTGTTGCATTGTGTGAGGCAAATGGTGGTCACACCAGATGCTGACTGGTTTTCTCACCCCCCCCCCCCCCCCAGACCCCCCCAATAAAGCAAAACTGAACATTTCAGAGTGGCCTTTTATTGTGGCCAGCCTAAGGCACACCTGTGCAATAATCATTCTGTCTAATCAGCATCTTCATATGCCACACCTGTGAGGTGGGCTGGATTATCTCAGCAAAGGATAAGTGCTCACTAGCACAGATTTAGACAGATTTGTGAACAATATTTGAGGGAACTGGTCTTTGTTGTGTATAGAAAATGTTTTAGATCTTTGAGTTCAGCTCATGAAAAATGGGAGCAAAAACAAAAGTGTTGCATTTATATTTTTGTTCAGTGTACTTGCCAGGACCAAGCTGCTTGTGTACAAAGCAGTCATACTGCCAACACTCCTCTATGGTGCAGAGGCATCAACCACTTATAGTAGGCATTCAAGAACACTTGAGTCCTACCATCAGAGATGCCTACAGAAAATCCTGCGTGTGAGCTGGGAAGATTAGAAGACAAACACCAGCATCTTATAGGAGGCAAATACAGACAGCATCACCACCACCATCACTAAGCACCAACTCGGATGGACAGGCCACGTAATACGGATGCCTGATACCTGCCTTCCAAAACAAGTCCTCTGCTCTGAACTCTCCACTGCTCAGTGTGCACCTGGAGACCAGAAAAGGCTCTACAAGGACAACATCAGAACCAATCTCAAAAAATTCAACATAAACAGCTCAAAGTGGGACGCTACTGTTAGTCAAAGACCTGCATGGAGAAACTGGCTGCATAAAGATGCCACTTTCCATGAAGATCATCTCCAACAGGCTGCCCAAATCAAGCAGCAGCAAAGGAAGCAGAGGTTCTCCACTAAGCAGGTCCCCACACATCCCACCTACAGCACCCAACATCTATGCCCACACTGCAAGAAAGTTTGTGTAGGTGTGTCTGTGTGGGATGCATGTGTGTGTGTGTGTGTGTGTGTATGTGTGCGTGTGTGTGTGTTTGTTGTGGTGTGGGACCTGTAACTGGGAGCTGTACTGGGACAGGGTGGAATACAGGAACTGGTACTGCTCTGTGGTCTGGATCATTCCACCCCTGCAGAGGATGAGGAGGACAGAGGACAGGTCAGAGAGACTGGAAGGACAGATCAAATACAGAGAGACAGGAGGAGGACGACAGGAGTAGGACAGGAGAGGAGGAAGACAGGAGGAGTAGGACAGGAGAGGAGGAGGAGGGCAGGTGATTGTTTTTAACCTACCTGTCCAGTCGAAGCTGACAAACTGTCTCCAGGATGTCCACCTGTCCAGTGTCTCTGAGCTGCTGAACGCCAATACTGCTGACAATGAAACAACCTGTCCTCCCAATACCTGCACTGAGGACAGGACAGGAGAACAGAAGAGGAGGACAGGGGGACAGCAGTACAGCGGGAGGACAGGGGGTCAGGGGGACAGGAGGACAGGACAGGAGGACATAGGACAGGAATGGTTTGAGAGTCTCCTAAATGACCATAAGGACAGACAAAAATCTGAATTCCATTTAATTCAGGACAACAAACAACAACAAAAACAACAATAACACACAACAGACTGACAGATCAAACATCAAACAACAACAACAACAACACAATAGCAAACAACAGACAACAACAATCAACAATAGACAAGAACAGACAACAAAAACAACAACAGTAATAAAAAACAACAACAACAATGATAAACAAACAACAACAATGACAACAACAACAACAACAATAATAAAACAATAACAAACAGTAACAGCAACAAACAACAATAACAGACAACAACAGAGGCCTGTACTACGAAGCAGGATGTGGAGTTAGCAAGGTAACTTCAAGGTTATTCTGAATTTACAGTACAATGAAGCTGGTTGTCTTTGTACCAGAATAAATCACCATGGTAACTGATGCTGAACAGCTGACCTGAGGGGTATTCCAGAAAGCAGATTTAGTGAAAACTCTGAGTAGGACTATATTAACCCTGAGATGAGGGAAACTCTGGGTTTTCAGTTCCAGACAGAGAGGTAAGTCAAACTCTGAGTCAATCACCATGGCAACTGACTCTGTGAACCTAACCTGCTCACTAGCAGGTTTTCTACAAGAAACCCTGAGTTCAACCTGTCTCCTCCCTACTGCCGAGCCTGAAGCAAGCTGGCAGACACACATGGGTTGTTCGTATGTAGGCAGAATTAATTCACAATGCTTTACGCTGGGAGAGGATCTTCATACCCCGTCTAGATGTGCTGTCTTTCCCCAATGAATATCTGTTTGAATCGTACCGTTTTTCATTAGGCTCAATCATTTACCGGCCACACATACCAAATCTGATCTATCAGGCTCCTCTCCAGTGGAATCATCTTCCTGTTGCGGTCCAGGAGGCAGACACCATCTCCACATTTAAGACTAGACTTAAGACTTTCCTCTTTGATAAAGCTTATAGTCTAGTCTGTCGGGGGACCTCCTATAATACACCGGGCACCTTCTCTCCTTCTCTCTCTCTCTCTCTCTCTCTCATGTCCTGTTACTGCATGTCACTAACTCGGCTTCTTCTCCGGAGCCTTTGTGCTCCACTGTCTCTCAAGTTAACTCATATCACAGCGGTGCCTGGACAGCGTGACGTGTGTGGTTGTGCTGCTGCCGTGGTCCTGCCAGATGCCTCCTGCTGCTGCTGCCATCATTAGTCATACTTCTACTGTTATTAAACACATATGATTATTGTCACATATTTATACTGTCAGATATTAATATATACTTTCAACATATTGTTTCACAGTAGCCAGAATTATAATTATAATACTATTACTTTCATTAATGTTGTTGTAAGCTACTGTCATTATCGTCTGTCCTGCATCTCTCTCTCTCTCTCTCCCTCTCTCTCTCTCTCCCTCCTAGGGACAGAGGGATGTTGTATGCTGTAAAGCCCTGTGAGGCAAATTGTGATTTGTGATATTGGGGTTTATAAATAAAACTGACTGATTCATTGATTGACACACCGCAGACATGCGCTCTCATCAGACCAAATGCTGTGCATCGCGTTACGTTTCGGGGTATGATAGTTTTAATGGATTCAAATTTCAAATAAGTTATCAACCATCTATATGTGCTTAAAATAGCTGCTGAAATTAGCAAGGATTCTTTTTTGATATTTTTTGGGGGGTATTTTGCCTTAAACTGACAGTACAGTTAAGCGTGAAAGGGGGAGGGAAACAGAGGGAGTGACATGCAGCAAGGTGCCACAGGCCGGAGTCGAAGCCAGGCCACTGCGCCAAAACCAACCTATATATGGGACGCCTGCTCTATCCACTGAGCCACCAACATCCCGTCAAAGACGATCCTGCTTGTTAAATTTCCCATGCTGCCTCTCTCTCCTTGGCAGCTTTAGCACTGTTAGGTGTTTTTTACAGAGATCATTTACACACTAAACACATGATTTTAACACGATTTGAAATTATTGAGTTTATTTCAGTGACTGCTTTTGCTCTCTGATTCATCACTGCAGCTCAGAAGACATGAGACACCTGTGTGATGATAAAACGGATCATATTTTATTAGTAAAATAATCCTCACACTGTTAATCAGCTCCTGTTATTATAAATGTCATATGTCAGTCAGACAGACCTCATCAGTCATTAACTACTTCTCCATTCTTTACTTCAGCAGCAGAAACAGTCTGGTGTTACTTTAACAGTTTATGACATTTGAAACAAAACCTTTTAATAAATCAGGTTCACAGTCGTGAACTTTAAACATTTTCTCACATCGTTCACACAATCACCAAAATCTGTATCTTTTCAGGAACCAACCTGCAGTGGACAACGATTGGTCCAGGACTGAGGGCGGGAGCTGTGATTGGCTGAGAGCCGAGTGGTAGGAAGGACTTGCTGTATGTCTCCACCTCCTCCACCATTCTCAGAAGAGGAGCAGTGCATTGTGGGATGTGGTGGTCAGGCCAAGAAGTAAACCAGTAGTGTCTGATAGGACGACGCTCAGAACATAGCTACACACACACACACACACACACAGTTGCACAACTATGAATCATCTTTACATTACGGTACAATAGTACAATACAATTTATTGTCCCCATAGGGAAATTTGTTTTGGACTCATGCTGTGCACAACATGCCTTCACAGTGTGATAAAACAAGCTACATAATAAACTGCACATATCCCACATTGCACATTACAAGATATACATACAAATACATAACACATATTGCACATGCACTATTTAAAAAGTTTAATGGAGGCAGGAATAAATTAATTTTTAAAATCGGTTAAGTTTGCAGTGGGGAACTCTATATCATCTGCCAGAGGGCAAGAGCTGATATTCTACGTGCAGTATATGTGATGGGTCAGTCAGTATCCTCTGACCTTGCCAAAAAAAGAGATTGCTCTTAAATTGACTGGAGGGACTGGTATTTGGTTCTCCCATCATCTTCATGGCTGTTTGTACCAGACGGGCCAGCATAGTTTTCAGTTGTACAGTAATGTTTCCAAACCATGCTGACATGCCATATCTGATCACACTTTCTAATGCAGCCAATAAACCCTTAAACCCCGTCATGTTGTAACAATTGAAAGTGACCAGCAGACGGAGCTGCAGCTCTTCTTGATTCACCTGTACAGGTAAGATGGAGTGTTGCAGGTTAACAGAAGTCATGTTGTTGTTTTTGATGTCACAGCATCTGTGTGATTGATGGATGAACAGTGTAATTTCCTCCAGAGCGCAGCCGCATTATCTCTGATTCATGTTGATAACATTTCCTGTGCTGTGGAAACTCTGATGTGTTTGAACACGTTTAATCTATTATGATGAAATCAAATGTCAGTGAACCTTGACAAGAACTGACAATGTTCAATGTTTTTTTTATTTAGACTTTTTACAGAGAACTTCTAAAACTAGAAAATGCTTTGATTAATTAATAACACCAGTAAAAGTCCTGCATCCAAGATCTTATTTAAATAAGAGCACAAAAGTATTGCCATCAAATTTTACTTTTTTATAAGTACCAAAAGTAAAAGTACTCATTACACAGAACGGCAGATTTCAGAATAAATATTATGAACTAATAATGATAATACTTACTGTATTCATTTATCATAATTATTGATGCATGAATGTGTTGATCTGTTTAATGCTGCAGCTCATTGTAATGACTGTATACTGATTTGAATTTCCCCTCATGGATTAGTTTTATTCTAACTGATAACTACACTCCCTGCCCTTTGGTTCTATGACTCCGCCCACCAGTGCGCCCTTTGGCCGTATGATTCCGCCCACCAGCCCAACCCATGGTTATATGACTCCGCCCACCAGCCCGTCCTTTGGTTGTGTGACTCTGCCCACCAGCCCAACTCATGGTTGTATGACTCTGCCCACCAGCCCAACCCATGGTTATATGACTCTGCCCACCAGTGCGCCCTTTAGTTGTATGACTCCGCCCACCAGTCCACCCTGTGGTTGTATGACTCCGCCCACCAGTCCAGTGTCTCTGACAGTCTCCATACATGTCAGTGAAAACATGGATGCTTCACACACAGAAGATCTATACAATCAGCACAGTTTCAAGATTAGAGTCACCAATTCAGTATCTGACCAAATGTCTCCCCTTCTGTTCCTGAGATATGACGTTAAAACATGATGATGTCACAGTCAAGCTGACCTTTGACCCTTTGACCTTCATTATTTTATCCTGTTAGACATTTGTTTCAAGTTTGGTCAGAATTAGTGAATGAATGACTGACCTTTGACCACTAAATTCTAATCAGTTCTTTGTTTGTTTTAGCTTCTCTGCATTGGCTCCCTGTAAAATCCAGAACTGAATTTAAAATCCTACTGTTAACTTATAAAGCTCTAAATGGTCAAGCTCCGTCATATCTTAGAGAGCTCATAGTGCCATATTATCCCACCAGAACACTGCGCTCTGAGAACGCAGGGTTACTCGAGGTCCCTAAAGTCTCCAAAACTAGATCAGGAGCCAGAGCCTTCAGCTATCAGGCTCCTCTGCTGTGGAATCATCTTCCTGGTGCGGTCCGGGAGGCAGACACCGTCTCCACATTTAAGACTAGACTTAAGACTTTCCTCTTTGATAAAGCTTATAGTTAGGGCTGGCTCAGGCTTGCCCTGTACCAGCCCCTAGTTAGGCTGACTTAGGCCTAGTCTGCCAGAGGACCCCCCTATTATACACCGGGCTCCTTCTCTCTCTCTCTCTCTCTCTCTCTCTCTCATTGTGTCATACGGATTACTATTAATTTATTATGCTGATCTGTTCTGTACGACATCTATTGCACGTCTGTCCGTCCTGGAAGAGGGATCCCTCCTCAGTTGCTCTTCCTGAGGTTTCTAACGTTTTTTTCCCCCGTTAAAGGATTTTTCTGGGGAGTTTTTCCTGATCAGCTGTGAGGGTCATAAGGACAGACGGATGTCGTATGTTGTAAAGCCCTGAGAGGCAAATTTTGATTTGTGATATTGGGCTTTATAAATAAAATTGAATTGAAATTGTTAAGTACGAGCGGATGTTTTTACCAAATTCCAGGAAACTCCCTCAAGGTATTCTCTAGAAATCATGTTCATGAGAATGGGACAGACAGATAGACGGACAATCTGAAAACATAAAGCCTCAGGCATCAACAATGAATTCTAATTTATTCCTTTATTATATTTTGTATCGTTAATCTGAATCTGTGAAACAACTAAATCTGTTAAATAATCATAATTGAGTAAAAAGTTTGACCCTTAAAGTTTAAAGAGACGTAAAATGGAAATATTTAAAGTAGACTAAAAGTAGAGTACCTCAAACCTGTACTTTACTTGAGTAATGTACCTAGTTTATTGTACCTGGATCTCCATGTCAGTGACGGTGAAACCGTCTTTCTCTCGGCTGTCTTTCACTGTAAGGAGGAATCTGCCGAATTGTCCCGTCTCTCCTTCTTCATCCTCCTTCTCCTCTTCCTCCTCCTCCTCCTTTTCCTCCTCCTCCTCCTTCAGCCTGCTCCTCCTCCTCCTCTCCCTCAGCTGGGGCCAGTACAGCTCACACTTCTGGAAAAGACAGACTCTTTTAGGACACGTCAAGAAAAGGAGACCCTGAGGAGGAGTCGTGTCTCCTCACCTCGTTGTTCTCCTTCAGTCTGGTTACCATGACGATGATGCTGCTCCTCTCCTGCCACACCATGTCCCAGAAGTCCCCAACAGTGTGCAGCATCGGCCCCTGGGTGGCGATGTAGGCCCTTGGAGCTCCTCTGTAACCCTGCAGCATAGAGACCAGGTTTTAGGTTTAGGTTTAGGTTTATTTATTTAGCACACATTAACATCAATGGTGCAAGGAGGGGACGAAGCCCGATGGGCTTGTACAAGAGGTCCACCCCTTTCAATAATCACAATCAATTCAGATTTATAATGCTAACAAATAAACTCTGAAAAATAAGGAGAAAATGTACAAAAATAATCAATATTAAATGGAAAAAAAGAAAAAAAAATGGAGACAAAGTACAGAATAATCATTATCAAGTGGAAGACCATGGAAACAAAATAATCATTGTAGAATCAAAAAATTATGAGACAAGATACATACTGTAAAGAACATCAATGAGGGATTGTCATCATGGAGAAAAGACACTGAATAAAGATGTGAGGCAATGGAGAGGGCAGGAAGTGACTAGATGATTCATGAAAGGATAAGATGTTTTTTAAGCTGCTTTTTAAAGAGTGAGTGGGAAGATAGGGATCTTACTGGGGGAGGTAATCTATTCCATAGCATAGGGCCTCTATAAGACATGTTAAACTGATGATGTGAGGTGCGGGTAAAGGGTAAATATAGATTATTATTATTACTGTGTCTAGTATGGTATGAATGTACATCTAATGAGAAAGTAAAGACATTTTTAAAAGTGTGAGAGAGATCTTGGTTTCTGTAAATAAACTTGTGAATGAACAAACATATCTGATAGATATTCAATTTGTGAATTGGTAAAATAGAATAATGTATAAAACATGGTGCTGATGGAGCATATCTGTTTGAATGTCAGATGAATCTTATGAACCTCTTCTGAATAATACATAATTTCTTGAGATGGTTGGGATATGAAGCTGCCCAGACCATATTACAGTAGTTCAATATTTACCAGACTGCTATTGAAATCCATCAACCGCCTTCAACTTGTTCAAAACACTGCAGCTAGAATTCTCACAAAAACCCGACGGTATGAGCACATCTCCCCTATTCTGGCCTCATTGCACTGGTTACCAGTGGTGTTCAGAATTGATTTTAAAATTTTGTTGTTTGTTCTTAGGTCACTGAACGGCCTCGCCCCATCTTACATTTCTGATCTCCTTACTCCTTACACCCTTCCTCGCACTCTCAGGTCTGCTGACCAGCTGTTACTTTTGGTCCCCAGATCCAGACTTGTGACTGAAGGTAGCAGGCCATACACTGTAAGGGCTCCACAGTTGTGGAATGCACTTCCCTTGGGTATCAAACAAGCTACGTCAGTGTCGTCTTTTAAGACTCTGTTGAAAACTCACTTTTATAGGTTGCTTTTAACTTACAAGTCTTATCTGACCCATGCTTTTAATGTTTCTTTTATTATTCATTGTCTTATCTGTTTATTTTTTGATTGTGTAATACTGGGATGAATTGTGTATTTGTTTTTATGTTTGTGAAGCACTTTGTAAACTTGTTTTTTGAAAAGTGCTATATAAATAAAGTTTATTATAAATAAGGAAACAAAAAGCTATAGTAAAGGGTTAAATGAGCAGAAGGATGAATTAGAGGACACACTCTTCTTAATATGCCCATCAACTTTGTGGACCTTTTGCAAACAAGGTCTATGTGATTTGACCAGTTGAGTTTTTCGTCAACTAATATTAAAAAAATTAAATTAAATTAATTAAAAATTCAGTAGCTTTAACTTGCATAATTTCTGATCCATTAATGAATAATTTTGCTTACTCTTTGGGGTAAGACTTATTTATGTTGCAAAAGATCATTAAGTTACATTTGTTCACGTTAAGCGTTAATTTATTAAGTTGAAACTATTTAGAAATAGAAGATAATTTTTCTTTCACACAGTCAAATAATTGAAGTCATTATGAGTTGCTATAAGATTGGTGTCATCAGCAAATAATACAGGAAGAAGAGTTTTGCAAGACATGGCTGAATCATTTATATAAATCAAAAATAATAAAGGGCCCAGGATTGAACCCTGAGGCACCCCATGTATGATTCTGGAATTGGTAAAAGAGTAGCCATTAAGCGACACATATTGTTCTCTGTTTATTAAGTAATTTTTAAACCAGTTCAGGGCAATATCCTCCACTCCATATCTATTTACTCTGGAAATCAGAATACTGTGATTGACAGTATTGAATGCTTTGCTTAGGTCTATAAAGACCCCAAGGGCAAACTTTCTTTTGTCCATGGCAGTTGAAATTATATTAGTTAGTTAACTAATTTCTCCAATAATTTAGAGATGCAGGGCAGGATGGATATACAGTAGGTCATCAGTATCACCTGTTTTTAAAACGGGGATAACTTTAGCAATTTTAAGATCGAGGGGAATAATTCCAGATTGGAGTGATAAAAACAGAATGTGGGTTAAAGGTTGAATTAAATTATCAATGGTTTCTTTAATCAAAATGCTCTTTATGCCACCATGCCCTGGGGCTGAATTCTTGAATTCCATGATGATATTATGGACTTCCTGTGTAGTTGGAGGATCAAAGGTATTGAAAGGAGGATATTGCCCCTTAATCAAGTTACAAGGGTTCTTATCGGTATCCAAAATACTCGATGCCAGAACAGAGCCAACGTTAACAAAAAAGTTGTTAAAGCCATCAGCTACTTCATTAGGGTTCAAAAGAATCCTCTCTTTCCCATGTATCTCTGTAGGTGCAGCTGCTGCTGATTTCTTACGATTCAACAAAAGATCAATGAGGTTCCAGGTTGACTTGATGTCATTTGAAGCTTGTGTTAATTTATCTACATAGTATGTTTTGTTTTGTTTTTTTTTTTGCTTTCCTTAGATTAGCTATAATTTTGTTTTTATATTTCTTATAGGTTTCTATGTTTAAAGGGTGGGGTTTGTAATAGCTTTCCTATAAAGGTTTTTTTTTTTTTTTTTTTTTTACAGGAGCGTTTCTTCAAATCACGTCAGATCTTCAAATCTTCAGTAATCCAAGGTTTCCCTTTAGAAGAATTAATTTTAGATTTTGAGCTGATCAAAGGAAAATATGATTCCACAGCAGAATATTAATATGTACTAGGAATAAGTGATAAGCTGCATCAACATCTATTAGCCTGAAAACCTCATCCCAAGAGACGTAACTGTTTTTCTTTTTTTCTTTCTTGAGTCTGTGGGCTTCTCTAGCAATATAAGAGTTGTTTTCGTGAGGTGCTTGTTCAGGTAAGCACCGGTCCCCTTCAGCTTGTGTCCTTGCTTCAGTAACTCGGATTTGTATTTTCTATTCACAAACCGTATTATGAACACTGGAGGCTGCTGCGTGGTTTGTTGGTTTGTTTTCGGGGGAGAGTGTGACAAGCCGCTTTGTGTTGGCTTTGAATGGGCAAGTCCCTGCCACCGAGGAATTGAACGACCTGGGTCTCCAGCGTCTCCAACTCGGCCTGCAGAGAATCCAATCCGGTTTCAGCCGAGGCTGTGACGTTTGCATAGGAGTGGTGTCTGGTCTTCAAACCAGTGATTATCACATCATCAATGCATGAGTATTGTTCCAATTCGTCAATTCTTCCTTTCAGATTTTCTATTTCCCGGTCCTTCTCTTTGTTCTTGTTTTTAAGACACTTGCTTTTGGAGGCTGTCCACTTGTTTAATCAGCTTGAGTATCTGTGATTGCTGCGTGGCAATTTTGCCAATCTCCTGTTGTATGATACTCAGAGATTGCTTAATTTCATCCATCTCTTCTTTTACCTTTTTGATGGCGCTCTCCTCTCAAAAATAATCTAATAAGTATTTTTGAACTCCAAACTTTAGTTCAAACAGCTCAGACGAGCTGCACAGGTAATCTCAGTATCAGCCATCTTTACTCTTGGTCACACTTTCAACTTTCAAATTCTTCTTCTTTATTTTCTTTTTTTTTTCTCTTTAAATTTTATATAAACATAAGCTTTGTATTTTACAATGTAAATTGATGAAATTGTATGTTTTATATGGAATATAGTGTAATATATTGTATGTAAGGTGTGGACCACAGGAAGACTGATGATTGCCAAGGCATTCAGTTAATGGGGATCCTTAAAATAAACAAATAAACAATTAACCAATCAGCCAATCAATTAGTCAATCACCAGTGTGTGAATGGTTACTGAGGAGCAGGTGGCACCATGTCTGGCAGCCTCTGTCACCAGTGTGACATTTAGTGTAAAAGTTCTTTGAATGGCCAGACGATTAGAAAGGATCTGTCCATTTACAACTGACTTTGCTTTCAGACAGCTGTTTTTGATGGGACCTGAAGCTCTCTTCAGAGCCAGACTGTTTTCGGTGACTAAACTTTACATGTCTCATTTATACATTTTTCATGTCTTTATTCTTCATAGTTAGAAATATAAAATAACTAACTCTGCATCAAACATTAAAATAAAGACGGTCAGTGAAGTTGACGCAGAAATGAGTCTAATCAACTTTCAGATAACTGCTGTCTTCCTGACGTGTCGTTTGTCAGCTTGTTTTTAACTTTGTCGTGTCCCTTCCACTTTTCAAACCTCACCACATCCTTGACCTGAGAAGACAGGAAGTGAATGATTAAGACGTATCTGCTCATCACAAACAACCGCTGACAGGTCATCAACAAAATTGTACTTTTATATTTTAAAATTATACCAGTGGAAAAAATCTGAAGCTCCTTATTGTATTAAACACAAACACACACACACACACACACACACACACACACACCGCTGAGGCTGCAGAGTGTGAGGGATGCGTGGGCTGGTGGGGGGAGGGGGGTTGGGGTTTGGTAGTGAGTCAGGGATGTGTCACTTCCTCCCTCACTTCCTGTGGTTTTCCTGGTTGTCAGACTCCCACGCTGAAAAACTGACGGCTCATATCTGAGTTTCTGTTTGTTTAGCTGTCCAACACACACACACACACACACACACACACACAATCACACACCGCTGTCTCACTCTGTCATCTTGTTTTCTTTTGGAAACACATTTTTCTTCGCTGTCAATAAACATCTTTAATCAAGAATTAAATGATAAAGAACTAAAGATGATGATGATGCTGATGGTGA